ATCTACTACCTCCAACGACCAGGGCTTCTCAAGTGACATTATTTTATATAGTACCACTTACAACAACATCCACATGAATGTTTTTAATTTCACGGCACTAATTAGGAGCCTGAGTCACGGACCTCTTGCTCTAGGCACTAGGCAAACTGAATAAAAAGATAGACAAAAGTCATGTAATAAAATGTAGTTTAAATTGCAGTTTATAAACAGCAGCACAGTGCAATAGTCAAGGCTGTAAGGCTGATGGAGGATGTCAGAGTTATTCACAGTCACTCTGGCAGGTAGGTAAATGTATTATCTAAACAACGGGTGAGTCTCGGCTCCACTTGCTATTTTAGAAATTGTTGGAGTTTTTCAAAACACCTTGCGAATGCAGCCTCCAAACTCTGTTAATAGCTGTGCCTGGAAGTCAGGTGGCTATTCATTCTCAGGTAAGTGCAACTGCAAACCAAGCACAGCAAAGCTCAAAGCATTGGCAACTGTTCCTACAAAGCGTGGGATGCAGGAGTCTTCACAGCACTCTCTGCTTTTGACTGTGATCAAATAATCTGAAAGCTTTTTTCATAATGCTGTGTTTGTGACACTGTGTTCTGGAAACTAACCTGGCAGACAGCAAAATTCTGGTCTACTAGAATCTGGCTGAGGAAAAAAGATTGAAATAATTCCTGCAGCTGGGGAATTTAGGCCATTGCCTGAGTTTTTATCTTTTCAGCCACACTGAATTACAATATGAGCAGTGTTTCACATATGACCCATGCTTTACTGATAACAAGTTGTTTCACTGCTTAGCTCTCATAAACATGCATCTTCCCTATGGAAGAGTCATCTTTTAGATAAACCAAGGGAAGAATTCCTGTGGAAAAATGATTATATATTTGTGTAGAAGTGCTTTTAAGTAAGGAAGGAAAAGAAGCATACAGAGAAAATCTGGATTGTGTCTAAATCATGTCTTTTATGCTCTCATTAAGGCATTAGAATTGGCTATGGAAAAGCCTTGGGTTTTCTTCAAGAACCCTTTACTTAGATGGGCTTCAACCATTCCTTCAAGTATTCTAATGCTACCAAAAGAGTTTAGACATAATTTAACATTTTTACTCCGTTTATACGTGTGGTTGGTTGACCCTGGCTGGACACCAGATGCCCACCAAAGCTACTCTATCACTTCCTTCTCAAATGGGACGGGGAGAGAAAAGAATATGAAAGGCTCGTGGGTTGAGGTAAGGAGAAAGAGATCACTCACCAGTTACTGTCATGTGCAGAACCAATTCATCTTGGGGAAATTAATTTAATTTATTGCTAATCAAATCAGAGCAGGGTAATGAGAAATAAAAGCTAAATCTTAAAACACCTTTCCCCCACTCCTCCCTTCTTCCTGGGCTCAACTGCACTCCCGATTTTCTCTACCTCCTCCCGGAGCGGCACAGGGGGATGGGGGTTGTGATCAGTTCATCACACGTTGTCTCTGCTGCTCCTTCCTCTTCACGTTCTTCCCCTGCACTAGCATGGGGTCCCACCCTCGGGAGACAGTCTTCCACCAACTTTTCCAATGTCAGTCCTTCCCACAGCTACAGTCCTTCATGAACTGCTGCAGCAAGGGTCCTTCCCACTGAGTGCAGTACTTCTGGAACAGACTGCTTCAGCCCGAGCGCCCACGGAATCACAAGTCCTGCCAGTAAACCTGCTCCAGTGTGGGCTCCTCTCTCTACAGGGCCACAGGTCTTGCTGGGAGCCTGCTGCAGTGCAGGCTTCCCGTGGCATCACACTCTCCTTTGGGAGTCCACCTGCTGCAGTGTGAGGCCCTCCATGAGCTGCAGGTAGATCTCTGCTCCACCATGGACCTTCACAGGCTGCAGAAGGGCACCCTGCTTCACCGTGGTCTTCACCACAGGCTGCAGGGGAACCTCTACTCTGGCACCTGAAGTACCTCCTTCACTAACCTTGGTGTCTGCAGAGTTGTTTGTCACATATGCTCACTCCTCCTTCCCAGCTGCTGTTCTACAGCAGGTGTTTTTTTTCTCCTCTTCTTAAACATGCTATCGCAGAGTTGCTGCCACTGTGGCTGGTGGGCTCAAACTTGCCCAGACATGGGTTTGTCCTGGAGCCAGCTGGCATAGGCTCTATTGGACAGGAGGGAAGCTTCTAGTAGCTTCCCACAGAAGCCACCCCTGTACCCCCCACTACCAAAACCTTTCCACGCAAACCCAACGCAACATATATTTGTTACGAGTCATGTTTTAAAACCAACCAATTTGCAGTGAATGCTTGCACTGTAACTGTATGGTAGCATTGCCTGAACAGAGTGAAAGAAACATGTCAAAACATGCTAATAAAAGACATCGAGAAGTCCATCTTGCCCTGAACCCTGTAAGGATCACGGTCTGGACAATGCCAAATCTCACCAGTAACCAACAGTCTGGTACAAAAAGCCTGTTCATTCCAGGTTTTTGTCGTTGTCAATAGACTTTGTAAATGGCCTATTTCTAAAGGTACCAGCCAGAAAGCGGGCATAGTTTGACACAGAAATTAATAAAATTTCTCACATTTATTACAAGAGAAATACAGGTCTTAAAATTCATTGGCTGTCCTGGGAAACGTTCTCTTTGGGTCAGGCTGCAGCTTGGAATTACCAGTGTGTAGTGACAGTCTGCTGTTTTCCAGGAACAGAACCGTATAAAACTCTCCTTCCAACTCTGACTCACGGAGAGGTCTTCATCAGCTGAGCTGCTATTAAAACCCCTAGTGAAACCCACAGAGAGGTAAAAGAGGCCACTTCTCAGGTTGCTCCAGCCTGTTTTACATATGCATCTCCATCGATTTTTTCCTCTACGGAATTTTCTCCTTGGTCTAAACAGGAAGATAAGTGGAAACAATGTGCTACAGTTTGTAAGGATAATAAAAAGATGTCAGTGTTTAACATGATGGGCAGTGGCAAAGCTTACCAGCCACCCAGCCACTGTCAACATAGAGGGCCCTGAAGAGCAGCCACGACCCCCATTTGAGGAGTAGGCAGAGCTCCTTCCCCTATATACTGCCTGGGCATTACTTTGTGTGTATTTTCTAGACACAGCAACCTGTTAGTAGATTTATTGGCAGTGCACTAAGAAGTATCTTTAAAACAAGTCAATTCGGGCTCTCTTAGCCTTGATAGCACATCCTTAAAATATGCTTCCTTCTATGAACAGGAAGAGTACAGAGATTATGTTGTGATAGTTCCATGACAAGTGACTTCCAAAAAGCAACATAGAAGGCTATTTTTCAGAAGGGCCATCAACCATCTGGCAGCCTGTTTTCTACCCGTCATTGTAAGCATGATAATCTGAACAGCATTCAAGAAAAAGGCAGATCAAAGTCTTTGCTGTTTCCCTAGGAAATGCATGCTAACAACTCCACAGACAAAGATTTTCAAGTGGAAAACATGTTTTACACTTGTATCTCCTTCACTGCTGAAAAGCCCTGCTTATTTTTTAGAGTTTCTGTACCAAGCCTGTTTTTCAAATGGAGCTTGGAGATTATTAATTTTGCAGGTGTGTTCACATCCAGCACAGACATATGGAAGACACAATCTCCTACTAAACTAAGGAGTATCTATGACAGTGTTGTCCTGTTGTGTGTCATGCCTGTAAGTATGGCAATAATGCTGGTGGTGACTTAAGCTGCTCTGACACTATCTAAACCTGCACAGACACAGCAGTTAGGACTCAGTTTTCCCCAACTCAGTTGGTAGAGCAACTCCTGTCCTCAATCTCAGAACCTACTTAGAACCTTGCAGGTTAAAATGCTGTTTTACCAGCTTGTCAACTAAAATCTGGGGCTCTGCCTCTGCTGTGAGGCTGTTCTCCTTTCGGCTTCCCCTGGGCTCCGGTGCCTGTAAGCACTGATTAGCATGTGATACGGTCTAGTGGCCTGCATGCCTGCATTTCCTTCCTATGGAGGGGAAGACGCAGAGGGATGGCGGTTTAAATCATATGGTTTTGCTCCGGTGTGCAGCTGGAGCACTACCAGGGCACATGCTGGTCTCAGAACTGGTCTCTGGTCCACCCGTTTGACTGTAGCCCAAGTGACTCATTCCACAGAAAATAGCATTGCTGGAACAGAGAAAGTAACCCTCATGCCAAGTGACCAACAAGTACAGTTGGTCTGATGCCCCGGTGGCAGGGAAGGAAGAATCCCGCTAGTCTGGCAGTGGGTGAAGGTCCCTGCCCTTAAAACTCTTGTAATATCTTTCTAAGGCTGAAAATTGGGACAATATGATGCTGTAAATTGCAGATCATAAAACAAGATGGAGACTGATGTGCAGCTACACACTGTGTCCCAAGCTACTGTCCAAATCACTGACTTGCCTTGTTGGGCCAGAGTGTCAAGAGATTTATGTGGTAGGAAAATCTAGTGAACAATGAAAGCATTTAAAAACACGCCAACAAATACAAAGCATTTGGGAGCAGCAGCTGATGTTCCCTCAGAGATTTAACACATGATTTCTATAATCGTAAAAATATATTTAATTTTGTTTATTTAAACCAGCCTGTGTTTTCCTGTGAGCATTAATCATCTGGTGTCACACAATAGCACCCTAAATGTCACACGTTGAATCACATCTCCTGTGACACTGTTATGAATATTCTGGATGTACTCCACAGCTGTAGAAAGAAGTACTTCATGCCTTGCTGGCTGTAGAGCAAACACACTCTTGCAGCTTGATTTTGTATTCAGTAGCTCAACAAAACAGCAAAGGCAGCATGCAAAATGAGGAGGAGTACTGCTGAAGCTCAGCTGCTGATCTTCCACAATTCAACTGCAAAAACTGTGAAGTCTGAAAGAAGACGTTAAAGTATCCGCAGAAATATTAAACTACCTTAATCAAGGTAATTACACCTGGTCACTTAGTTTTGTCTGCTTGAAGAAACAACAACAGCACTCTGCTGAAGACAGAGCTCTCTTCTTCCCCCCGTGCAAGTCAAGGAGAAAAGAAAATTCCTGTTTCCCAGCTGCTGGAATACAGCATGGAGCTGGCAGAACAAGACAAGGTGGAGCAGCTGAAAGATGGGTATAGTTTATGTTTGAGACTAGTTGAGTGGCCTGGCAGGTTTGTGACTGGAGAATGTTGTGACATAAAGTAGTTTAACAGCATCTTCATAACGCCACTTTGGGCCAGCAGTGGATTTATTGTCTTTGAAGTCCAAAGATCAGGATGGATCTGAACAGTATGGAGTATATTTATTTTTTTTTCTTAAAGAAAGGCTGCTGCCTCTATCACCTCATCTCTGTTAAAACAAAAATGCAAGATGGGGGAAAACAAACCTATGAAAAAATATAGATTTGTCTTCAGAGAGGATTTTGGATGAAAACAGCTAAAGCAGAGAGAGGCACTGGATGAAGTCATTCTGTTTCAAGCCAGTGGATTGCCTTTACTGGACCCTGATTGGAACTAATCAGTTGGCAGGAAAGACTAATGCATATTGATGGTGCACTCCCTTTATCAGTGAGTACAAACACATGCTCTGGGAAGTCTCGCCAACAGATTTGGTGTCCTAAAGTACCAGAACTTAAGGGAAAGACTGTTATGTAGAGTAAGAGAAGGTGCATCATCCAGCTGGAGATACTTCGAGCTCTTCTCGTCTTTCAAATATACGTGAGTCGAGAATGCCTTCTCACTTCTCTATTCTGTGCCTTGTGAATGCAAAATGCTTGGTACTCAGAAATTCCCTGTTTGGGGAGGCCAATGCTCACACCTGCGTAGCAGCAGGTGCAAATACTTAGCTGAGGAACAAAAGCAGTGGAAAATCAGTCCCAAGAACCATAGAATCACCGAATGGTTTGGGTTGGAAGGGACCTTCAAGGTCATCTAATTCCAACCCCTCTGCCAAAAATGCTTAAACACCCCCAGCACTGCTGAAAGGAGACCATCGCGTAGCCCTCAGGACACATATACTGTGATACGGCAAATGCAGCCTCTCACTTTGACCAGAAACACATTTTCATTACATTTAATTTCTTTTGGCAGGACACGCCAGTTTATAACTTTAAATGCAGGAATTGTGGACAGCTACAGCACGTCTGTCTCCTTCCTATCAAAGAAGCACTGGAGAGAAGCAAGGCTGTTTCTCCTTTCTCGAAACACAAGGCTGCCGTTTTTTCAAACTGAAAGCAAGTGGGAGCAAATTATTTGGATTTCCTGGCAAAAGCTGCACAAACACACCACCTTTAATAAAAATAGATAGTTCTCATAATGCTTTCCCCATGATCATAGGAGGCCCTGCTTTCTGTTTTCAGCTAGAGAACATCTTTGTTATCCTTGCAGACAGTAAATAACAAGCCATTCATTTGAACTACACTTTTTTTGGCAATAAGACTCAAGGAAAGAATAGGGATAAAAAAATCAGAGATGTCAGGAAAAAGTTCTGCCTGTAAATACATGTTCATAGTTCTCAGTTCCTCCTTTGGTTGCAGTGGGGGCAGGTGTCTCTGCCCATTTTAAACAACCCAGTTGTATTTATCATTCAACTGTATTGCTTTTGCATGCTTTCCTGTTCTTCCACTCCTTTCTTAGCATATGGAGAGCTGGATAGTTTTTACCACCTTGGCCCAGCAATGGAGTAATATCAACCAGAAATATAGTTCAGTGAAACATATTGTATCATTGAATCGAAAGTAAGAATGAATACATCTTTGAAAGAGAGCAGATATGTTTTAAAGCACATTTGTACTGAAATTCAATGGTCTTCCATGAAATTTTGATCTGTGTAAGAATACTTATACTCTATTCCTCTGCTTGTCTTTGCATACTAGTTACATAAGTGTATGCAAGTATCCGAATGGTTGCACACACGTGTACACACACACATACACACACAAATATATACACATGTACACGTAAGCATATCTGTAAATATGCACATAAAATGGGTTTGCTGTGTGGGTGGAGTCTGATATGTGTGCATGCACATAACTAAACATATTTCAGAATATGAATGAAACTGATGTAGATGTAAGGCAGAAAGGGAGGGAAAGGTAAAAAGTATTTCAGACAAAAGGAAAGGCTGCTCAGTGTCAAAAAAATGAGAACTTCAGATATTGATAATGGCAGACTGAATGAATCGAATGCATTATGAGTAGTTTTCCTGTTCCATAATTAAAGAGATCATGCCTGTTTGTCTTAAATATCTTGCATATGACAACTTCATAAAGCTGGTTTAATAAGGCAAGATCTGAGTTTCAGGAAGGCCGGGTTCTGATGGATGAAGTGAAACAGTTTTTTCAATATAATTCAGGTAATCAATTCTGCAGAAAAGAAAAAGGAAACATAACTCTCTAGCAGTTGGCAGCAGTTACATAAGTAAATACAACAATTTATGGGAATATGGTGGCATCTGCAATGACGAAAGTTAGACAGGAGAATAACCAGAGATACGGCTTCAAATGATGCAGTGTAAAAGGAAGCTTACAAGACTGCAACAGGAAATTGTTTATCAAAATGAATTTGGAATGATTTTCATGATTGAAATTACCTGATGAAACTTATGTTCGATAAATTAGGAAGTACTTAATGAATGCTGTGTTCCATCGGGAATTATTGACAATTAGCATAGGAAAAGATGAAACATGAGATTCATAATAAAAATGTGGATGGAGGCAAATGAGACTGCCCTGATATCAGAGTTTTCATCTCTGGGTGGCTTCATCAAATGTCTGATCTTGTTTGTTTTGGTAGCTTTGGATGAGATGTTTCCGATTTTGGGAATTGGACAGAAATGGCACTTGGACAAGTGAGGACTGACAGAAAGCTCATTAAAATGGATGGCAGTTTGCCTATCAATTTAAATGAGCTCTAAAGCATGACCTCTGTAAAGGGATGCTCGGTTCAATCTCGTGTGAAAAATCTGGCAGATATCTGGCAGGTACCTTTCAGGTTTTTTTCTGTGTGCACATACAAGTTTGATTCTGCTCCAGGTGAATTCAGTTTCATTACTCTTAAGACCTAAAAGGTTAAGCATAAGCTTATGTGCATCTGTGGACTGGGGATGCAATCATTTTCTTCAATACAAAAAGCCATGTTTTAAGGTGAAAGGGGAAATATATCTCATCGGTGAGACCTATAATGAGAGAAATCATTTTTGCACATCAATCAGCAGGAGTGCTGCATGGCACTGACTTCACCTGGGATACAATTTTATTTCCTCTTTCATACACTCACAGGTAAGTTGCCAAATGCAAGAGGAGGCAAGTTATGTCTGTTATTTTTTTGAAAGAAACTTTAGAGAAAAAAATCTCAAAACATTATTAATATATGACCTTTCTTTAGTGTCAGAAAAAGTCTTCTTCATCCAGAAATTTTTGATCTACATTTTATTAGAAAAGTCATATTTGATACTGAAATAAGCCTCTCCTAAACCAGATAAAAATGCCATTCTTCATTCCATAAACATCTCTTTTTATGTGTTGATCCAAAGACCATAAAATTATGGAAAGACTCAATCTTTGGTGCCAGGTAAGCCCATAGTTTTTCCAGAAGAGAGGACCAAGTTTCAGTACCTGTTGCCTGGTTACAGCCCCTCCAGCCCTCTTGGAATTCATGGGTTTATAACACCTTAGAAAACCAGACCTATATAGTTTTCACTTCAATTATTTATGCAGCTAGTTGTTGATTCCTTTTTGTCTGGTAAGCCTGATGAAATGTTTCACTACCTCTGCTCTTCTTCTGTCCAAGGCTTTATTCTGCTGCACTTGGCTTTTCCCTGTGAATGCTCTCCAAGTCCTACCAATGGGCATCAAATAGTTTACTGGAACCCTGAATGGGCAGGACAAAAAGAAATGTGTTCCCTAGGTAACTCAGCACAATAATCAGTTCGTTTTTGCAAGTATGCTTGCTTATCTGCCAAAGCACAGATAAGCATGTCTGTGTTTAATACTGTGTTCCTTTTCTAGTGCTTCCTGTGAGTATCCATGCAGATTATACTAAATAAATATTCAAAGAAATTCTCTCTCTCTAACTGATTCATCTGACATGAATGCCATGGATTCCTGGATACAGTCAAACCAGGTAAGATCAATACAGAAATTAACTTTCCACTGTAGCTATGTCATGAAGTTTTTAGATGTGATTTTACTGGTGACATCGACCTATTGTTTTGATATCACCAATAAGTATCAAGCTAACACAAAGTAAAGTAAGAATTTTATATAAACAACATCAAATTACACCAGCAAACTGATTTTTATAAGCTGCTGTACCCCTGAATCAGAAAAATGTTGTAAGAGAAACGTCATTTAAGCATTCTTTAACAATGATTAACATGTCAGATCAGAAAAACTCAGCCATTTAAATACATAGACTGTAAAGCCAGCTCGTTCATCTAGTGTGACCTTAACGAAGTCAGTCTCTGTGAATCCTGCCTGAATGCTGACCCCGTTCACGTTAACAGAATTTTTGCTGTTGACTGCCGCAGCGCCAACGTTTCATGGTCTGAGCATCTCAGTTATTTCTGTGTAAAAAGGGGAGGGATAATGTTATTTCCTTTCTCCTGCTCTTTGTCTGTCTGCTCTGTTCAATTAGACTACAAACTCTCTGGAGCAAACTCCAGCTTACTGGCTTTCTGTGGTGCCCAGAACAAGAGGGCCTCTTGTGGCCTGCAGAAGTCATAATCATTTGAATTATTTCTGTCACTAGTCAGACCTCAGGATGAGACGTGTTCTGCCCAGTTCATACATGTTTCAGGACTGCACCAGCTGTGTCAGTGGGACGTGCAGGGAAGCAGCCGATCGGTCCAACGCAGATGGGAGAGACACGTGGTTAAGACTAGTGCCCACCCTGTATTTGCCCCGCTCCACCGTTTCAAAGACAGAATTACTGGTCAAAATTGGATAAAGTGGGAAAAATTATTTCTTGCAGGGATGCGACGTGCTGCTGAATTTCTTGGCAGAAGCAGATTTTTATGGGCAGGTTGTAAAGATCTGAAAAATAGTGTTTATAGTGGAAAGGCCGACACGATCTTAAATCTGTCATTTCACTGAAATAGCACTTGGGTAATTTTTCATATGCTTTATGAG